GAGGACTGGACACTCTGGCCTCCAAAGGCACCTGTACTGAAGTGCTCAGGCATGCACACACTATTAAAAGCAAAGTGAATCTTTATGCCACCTTTGAGGACAGTTGGTATTTTATGTTATTATATATATTCAAGGCACACAGTATAGCTAACCATTAATGTCTGTTTTTTTGAGGGGGGTAGGTTTATTTTTGCCTTTTCAAGACAGGGTTTCTCTGTGTAACAGCTCTGGCTGTCCTGGAACCAGCTCCATAGACCAGCTTGGCCTAGAACTCAGAGATTTGCCTGCCTCTGCCTCCCAACTCCCAACTGCTGGAATTAAAGGCATGCACCATCACCACCACCCAGCTGATGTCTGGTTTTAAGCTACCTAGTAAAAGTATATCTACATGCATTTCTTATTCAGTATCCTCCTAGACAGCTATAGCTATACCATGTTTCTTTTAAACATCCCTCTATTTCCATGTCTTTTTTTTTTTTTAAGCAATTGTACTTTGCATCATATCAGTCTGGCCAGGCTTCAGTAACAAGAGCCACTGATGGGGAGGCTGAAACAGGAACCTCTTTCCCCACTACTCTGGGGATTGGAATATATCTGCAGATTCAGCTTCTGATGAGGGATCCTTCCATTTGCAGATTCAACCTTGGCCTCCCAAGGGTATGCAAAGCTATCAGCTCTCTAGCCCTCATTACACCACCCCCAAAGGCCCCATCTCCATGGTGTCCCATGGGGAGAGGAGATAGACTTCAATATGTTAATCTGGGCTGAACACAGATATTCAGTCATGATCTGGTTATTTGAAAACTGGCTGCCCTACCCAGTTCTCCAATTAGTTATAATTGGTTTTTGATTGAACTTCTTAGTATTTTCAGATCAAAAAGTCCAGTGATCTAATATTAAACATTATTTGCTTCCTCCTAGCATTAATACCTTGGCTAGGAGCTACAAAGTGTTCAGTCTTCCATCCCTACCCTTATCCTAGAGCCTCAGTATGAACACACAATCACCATCTTTATCAAGCTTAGTTGACTTATCTCATCTAAAGTGACTTGCAGGAGCTGCTTCCAGCCCTCTAGACTGGAAGAGGAGCAGGCCCAGCATGGACTTCCTAGAGGCCCAGCCTCCCTACCACTCTCAGGATGCCCAGGACACTCCACAGCTCATAGGGTGGCCCTGGCCATGGTAGTGTCGAGGGAAGAAAACATGGTCATCTTCTACAGGATTCTCTAAGCCAGAAAGGCTTTTCTTGGGAGTCCTGAGAGCCTTCTAGAAAATCAGGTTCTGTTGCATAAAACTGCCAATTAGTGATTATTTCTTATGGCAGCCTGAGTAGACTCACAATATAAAGTTCAATTGCTTACTTAGGGGCTGGAGAGATGGCTCAGTGGTTAAGAGCAGTGGCTCCTCTTCCTAGAGGACCCAGGTTCAATTCCCAGCACTCACATGGCAGCTCACAACTGTCTATAACTCCAAGATCTGACAACCTCACACAGACATGCATGTAAAACACCAATACATGTAAAATAAAGAAATTTAAAAAAGAAAGTTATTTGTGTTTTAAAAAATTCAATTGCTTAAAAAAAAAAAAAAAAAAAAAAAAAAAGGAAATCGAGGGATTCTTCATTCATAGCTATGACCAAGATGGACCAAGATGTTTAGAATAAAGCAGGACATAGTACTCCCCTCTCACCTCAACGCCCTGGTAGTCAGAGGCACATGCTCATCGACACAGCCTCCCTCTATCTGGCCTCCTGTCTTCTCCCCAGACCATTAGCTCTTGACTCTGTGACAGATTCCCCGGGGACCACTCAGTGTGTCCTATCTCCTTTCAACTCAGTACACTTATTTAGGTCACAGAATTTTTTTCCATTATACACCAGTTTATATGTATGGTATTTGCTTCATAAGTAACCTGCTATTTATCTCCTTTAATTCCAGTCTTAATAAAATATAGCTGTTCATTTCCAAATGTTTACATTTTATTTGAGGGCTTTTTTTTCTAGATATCTCTTTAAAAAAAAAAAGTTCAGGCCAGTAAATGCTGGAAAAAATACACAGTTTGATGAACAAAGTAGTTCTGCAAGACAGCTGACAGCTTAGTGGAACCAAACCCCTGCCATGCCCACCATCCTATTACATTCTACCCTGAGACTCTACAGCTCCTGGTTTGGTGTTTAAATGCACAGCTTCTGCTTCCCTTTCCAGTGTTTTCTGCTCTCATGTTCATGGTACTGGAGCCTGAACCCTGGGTCTCCTTCTGTGTTGTGTGTGACAGAAATTCTACCACTGCCCTGGCACCCCTCTCCCTGCCCTGGCACCCCACCTCCTAGCCTGATATCACCACTTCCTCCCATAGCTCCCACTCCTGACCTGGGAAGTTCTTTTCTATCTTGAGCATCACTTAATAGTTTTCCTGAGGAGGTTGCAGCCTCTGTCTCTCCTGTCATATGTCACCTCTGCTTCACAACCCAATACTGGGATCTAACCCAGGACCTCACACATTTTGGGCAAGTCCTCCTAGAGCAGATGCTTTTATCTCCTCTTAGCTTTTTTATTTTTCCTGGAATTCTCAACTACCTTGTCCTTTAATATACTTTTCATGAGTTCAACCCAAGCTCTCTACCCACTGAGACACACTAAGTACTCTATTGACTTCAGCTTCCCAAACAAAGCTATTCTACCCCTATTCCCAGGAACTACACTGGGTAGGGCCACTGCCTGAGGTTTCATCCAGCTGAGTGCTGGCATGGGCCTCAGAACTATCTCTACCAAGAGTGGGAGTAAACATTGAGGGCAAACACCAAATGTTGAGAACAGAATGTCCCCCACGAGGACCAGCTGCTAAATGCGTCAGCACCTTCCGTGGTTTGACACCTCAGATGCTGACCTTCATCTTCTGTTGCTTTCCTCAGAAACGGGGGAGTGGAGAAAATGTTGAAGCTGCATTCTTTATCTGAAAAATGCCTTAATCTATTCTCTATCCTGGTTGGTTGTTAGTTTTGTTTGGTTTGGCTTTTTCAGACCTGTAAATTCCAGGCTGACCTCAAACTCAGCATGTGCCTTGAACCTCTAAACCTCTAGTCTTCCTGCTTCTAGATCCTATATCCTAGGGTTCATGGTGTTCTGTGAGGTACTTTGTACATACTACATAAGTATGTACAACTACCAACTAAGCTATACTTCCCTGCCCATCCAACCTGATTTTTTGACTGAGTCTGGGGTAATTTGAAAATCCCAGGAGTTCTTAGGACCCTCAACACCTCTCATCTCCTAACAGCCTTGCCCTCTGAACTAAGATGCCCTCCCTGCAGGACTGTTGGGAGTGGAACTTGGGAACTACAGCAGGATAACCCTAAGACCCTTGAGTGGAACCCTAAGGAGAAAGTGTTTCTCAAGTCACTGTAGGTCCCTGCAATTGTCTAAGCAAGCTGGAGAGGGGCGAACTTTCCTAGGATTTGTGAAAAGAACAATCTTGCTGAGAGAGAAAGGAATGGTTAAGAGGCAATCTGGTAGGGTTGGTGAGATGGTTCAATGGTTAAGAATGTGTTCAGCTCTTGCACTGGACCAAAGGTTAGGATTCCAGCCCCTACATCTGGCAACTCACAATTGCCTGTAACTCTTGTTCCAGAGTATCTAGTACACTTTTGATCTCTACAGGCTCTGTACTCATATGCAGTCACAGACAGACAGACAGACAGACAGACAGACAGACAGACAGACAGACACACACACACACACAGAGACAGACTTAAAATAAAATCTTAAAAAAAAAAAAACAGTACTCTAGTTAGATGTTTTGCTGGGTGTAGGTCTATGCATGCAGGATTCTGAAGCCACCAAAAAGTCTGAGTTCCTGGTTGTCTACATAGGGTGGTGGTAGGTGTGCCAGGAGATGACAGCACATGTATTCACTGTGAAGTTTTGAGGTGTTGACCACACTCAGGCAGGATGTTAAGAGCCCCAGTGGTGGAAGAAGCTGCAAGACAGGTGGAGTTCACCGGGAAGATGCAAAAAAAAAAAAAAAAAAAGAATGTCCTTGCCTCAAAAAGACCATTGGGGAAGGCCAGGAAGTTTGAAGTGGATGAAAAGGGACTATGAGAGATATATTTACAGGGGTGTCCACTATAAATGTTCAGGGACATCCAAGAGCTTAGCTCAGTGAATTTAGATCTGGGGATGACAGAGTCGGGTGTGTGAGACTGGGGAGCTGACTCAGTAAGGACAAGCAGTGGCCAGGGTGGAGGAGGCTGACCTTTGGAGCAGCTTGACAAAAAGCTGGCTACTCACTTCTAGGATGTGTTCTCTGTTCATCCAGTGTGAACCAGCCCACATGGAATCTGAGAAGAGGCTTCAGGGCAAGCCCCGAAAGGAACTCAGGTTCTGGGAAAAGGCCAGTTCTCAAAACAGGAGGTCCAGGAAGCATGCAGGTTCTGGAACTACAAGCGGGAAGTTCTGGGGGCGGTTCTGGAAGCAAGGGGACCGCAGTGGCGCTCTGCTCCGCAGTGCAGAAAAGAAAGCAGGCATTGTTCAAGAATCAGCACAAGCCCTTGTCTCTAACAAACCGTTTAAAAACCCCATTGTAAACAATTTTGGAGCAGTCCTCGAGGGTCCCGTTGCTGTGGTGACGAGATAAAGTCCTAAAGTTCCAGCAGGGGTTGCAGCTCCGTCGCCGCCCCCAGCTCTGCACGTCTTTTCCTAACTTTCCCGCACGCCCAGCGGCCAGCGTGGCGCATGCGTACCATGTTCGGCCAGCGGCCCTGGTTGCTAGGGGTTACCAGATCCTTACCAAGAGCCCGCCTCTCTCTCATTTTGGTTAGTAATAGTTGCTGTCGATCGGAGCAGCTGTCACCTCTGATTGGACGAAGCCAAGTTTTGCTGGCCCGGCCCGCGCCCCGCCGCGCGGGTCAGTCGGATCCTCCAGAACCGGACATTTCGAGCTGCACGGTGGGTCCTCTCAGGAATGTGAGGGACCTGCTGCTCGCAGCCTCTCGGGGTCAGAGTCCAGGCGGGCGGCGATGATCCTAGAGGAGAGATCAGATGGCCCGGGCACCGATGAGGACAGCAGCCGGTTGCAGGACGACAGCAGCATCCTTAAGGTGAGGGCTGAGGAAGGGTGTGGGTCCCCAGCCTTCTACCCCGTGCTGTGTGGCACGGCCTTCGCGGCCTGTCCTTCCTGGGACCTGCTTTCCTGAAAGCCAGCGGTTGAAACTGAGCCGCAAGGAGAGGCCGGAGCCTGTGTTCCAGACCGGTGGGAATCCCAGTGGCGCAGCCGAGGACTGGATGGTTTCCCTGAAACTAGGGATCCCCTTGGTTCTCAGGACCAAGAAGTTGATTCTGATCGTTGACAGCCCCCACTCCCTCATCTTCACCACCGAGCAGGTGTTTTTTGTTTGTTTTGTTTTTCGAGACAGGGTTTTGTTTTGTTTTGTTTTTTGTTTGTTTGTTTTTGTTTTGTTTTGCTTTGGAACCTGTCCTGGAACTAGCTCTATAGACCTCGAACTCACAGACCCGCCTGCCTCTGCCTACTGAGTGCTGGGATTAAAGGTGTGTGCCACCAACGACTAGCAAGCAGATGTTCTTTTTTTTTTTTTTTTTTTTCCCTGACACCTGGGTAGCCTCCTTTCCTGGCAGTGCCCTCTTCATGCATGGCTGTGGAAGCGGGTGCCCATTCGATGTTAGCTTGTAGCAGCATATGAAACTTTCTAGATTTCATGTTCTCCTGCCACCTTCCAGGACATACACCCCCTCCAAAATCCCAGACTCTGGGAATTCCAGTGCCTGAGCTTCCAGGAATCCAGGGGTAAACAGGTAGAATGGACACCTGTTCCTGTGTTAGGTTGATCTTACTCTGCAGCCTCAGTCTGGGTATTTCCTAGAGGTCAGTGAGTTTCTTAGTGTTTGTGCAGATTCTGGGGGGACTCCTGTTCACCCCGTGGAGGGGGGGCTGCTAAGCAGAGGCTCCTGTCTCTACCCCCATGGCACTTTGTTCTCCCTCCTTCCTGCTGTCAGACTGCATGTTGTTGCTGCTCATTCTATCCTGCTTTTGTTTGTCTGTGGCTCAGGTCTCTCTCCTAGAGGGGGAGGGCACCCAGACTTGGACAGATCTCTTCAGGGCTCACTCCTACCTGGCATGCTTCATGCCACAGTGACTAGTTGGCACTAGAGAGAAGGGGGAGGATGGGGAAGAGAAAGAGGGAGGGAGAGAGGGAAGGAGGGAATGAGGGAGACAGGGAGAGAGGGAGAAAGAGAGAGAACAAGGGAAGGAGGGAGAGAGGGAGGGAAGGACAGTTTGCACCATGTACCCTTGCACCATGAACTCTTCCTCACAGGGTGGCCATCCATGCAGGTGCTCTTTGGAGGGAGTACGTGCTGCATTGGGCAGCCTCCCTGTCAAGAGTGTGGAATTCTCCCAAAGAGCTGACTCAGTAGGGGGGAGGCTGGGAAGGCTTTGGGCTACCCTATTCCTTCTTTCTAAGCCCAGGCCTGTAAGGGGATAACTGTCCACTCCCTTCTGCTAATCCTGGGGGACAGGCCAGTTCAAGCCACTGGGTGGGAGGTTTTGTTTCTTTGATCCCATCTCTTTCCTCTGGACATGAGCCCTGTTCTGCTTGGGTCACTGTTACTAGGTTGTCAAAGGTGATGGCAAGCTCTCCCAGAGTTAAGCAGGAATTGCCACCATGGAGGTCATCCATGGTTAGATAGCTTTTGTTTCCAGAGGGTGGGGAGATTGCACCAGGAGACAGATGGTGCTCAGCATATGTACCCTCCCTGCTGGGCACTTCCCTCAGTCCAGTGTGGAAAATGGGGTGTGGGTCATCAGTCTCCAAAATCCATCCAGCCCAATAGATTTGTCTCTGGCTTGCTTATCTTGCCATTGTGCCAACACAGGTTAGTGGGTTGACTTGGCCTCTTTGAGTGAACCAAGGTTAAGAAGGCAGAGAACAGGCCCTAGGGCCTGGGTTTTGGGCTGAGAGAGCCCAGTGTGGCTGGTTACTGCAACTCCCCATCAGGTGGGTTAGGGGATGAGCCTTTGGGCCATCATTGAGCTGAGGCCTACTGCCCAGCATGTTTCCAGTCCTCACCAGAACCTAGGACTCTAGAGCCTTGTACTAGGATTTGGGAAAAAGAAGTTTGTTGTTTTCTTAGTGGCTTTGAAGAGGGGAGACTATCATGTCCTTAGTTTCCTTCCTACACAGATAGGGATAGGTCCTGAGAAGGAGGCAGTATGGGTCCAGCTCTGCGACCTGCTCTGCCCCTATGCTCTTGGGCCAGCTATCCAGAGAGTGAGTCACCTATCCGTGGTCACCCAAGGATGACTTAATGGCCTCCTTCTTTCAGAGTGAGCCCACATGCCACTCCTGTGGGCACTCTTCATTGGCATGAGCGTCTCTTGGAAAGCTGGCTCTGTGGTAAGGTTGGGCCACAGTCAAGGTGATTACCTCCAGGAGCTCCATCTATGGGTGTAAGTCTTGCTTAAACCCATCCAAAGTGCCAAGACAGCTCTTGAACAACAGTAAGCCATGCTTTGAATGCATGGCCAATATCAGCATTGCCAGGATTTAGCACACACTTGCCTATGCAAGCCCGTGCGTGTGTGTGTGTGTGTGTGTGTGTGCGCGCGCGCGCGCGTGCACACACACACACACACACACACACACACACACACACACAGAGGCACCACTCTGTATCATTTGGAATAGAGCCTTTGAATCTCAGTAACCTTCTCCCCCATCTGTTAGAGGGCCAGTGACCACTAGTTAGGATGTTTCTCAGGGCAAGAGCCTTATTCAAAGTCTTTACCACCAAGTCTTAGGCTGGTTAACCCAGACAGGGTAAGAACCCTGCAAGGCTCAGAGGATTTCACTCCTTGACAATCTCTGGGAGGAAGTTTCTAGGCCATGGCTGCTAAGTCTGTGGCTGGAAAGAGGGGATGTCACAGATAACTCAAGCCACCTCTCTCACATTACACAAGGGGAGCTTTCAACCCCCTGAGGCTGGCAAAGGGACACTGGAACCCAGTGCCTAGTTGTCTATATCACAGACCAGGTACCCATTGCCTGAGCAGCACAGGTTAATGACCTTTAACTGTCTGGTGACCATGTTCTTAGTGCCTGTGATTACACTACAAACCCTGTGGGCAGAGCCCAGGCCAAGCCCTTTTAAAAGGGGTCCGTCCTGGGCTTTGGTAGTAGCTCTCTGGAAAGGTGGCCAGACCCCCAAGGCAAATTGTGCCACCTGCATAGATGAGCCAGTGAGTCCTCCAAGCATATAATGTTGGTTCCCACAGGAACAATCAGAAAGGGCTTCCTGATAGAGATTTACAACTTTTTAATTTTTTAGAGATTTTATTTTTTAATTATGTGTGTATGTCTGTGTGTAGTTGAATGCAGGTATCCTCAGAAGTAGAATTATGGACAATTGTGAGCCACCTAATGTGGGTGCTAGGCACTGAACTTGGGTTCTCTACAAGAGGAGTATGGGCACTTAAACAATGAGCCATCTCTTCATAGAGCTATGACCAGAGGCCCATCACATCATATGTTAAACTATGGGGCCATGGAGAACCCAGCATTAGGAGAGTGGGTTCTATGCAGAAGCCTCTTGATGTATAGGCCAATTAGATGTCTGGGATGAAGCTGAGTCCATGGCATCTGTAGGGAAGATCTTGTTCATGTTCCCAGCCAGGCCTGCCCAGCCCCTCCCTGTGACACCAGCTCAGGTTCCAGCCCGAGGACAGACTGAGGTCCTCTGAACTTGGCAGACTCTATGCTGATGGGGACTCCGTGGACATCACCACTGTCATCCTTCCTGCAGGACTGTGACTCCATATTGCAGAAGCAGCCCTGCCAGCTGCAGAACCAGCTGGCTGGGCTCCACCAGCAGATCAGCAAGGAGCTGCGGATTCGAACAGGTGCTGAAAACCTCTACAGGTGAGCACCTGCTACTGCCTGGCCCTGGACCCAGAAGTGATTTTTTTTTTTGTCATCAGTCAAAAAGAGGGACAGATGGCCACGACATGGCTGCCACTTGGGTTCTAATAGCCACACTACATACTTCACCATTTGGTCTAGACCCTCACAGACAAACCAGGCCTCCCCATATATGCTTGGCCCAAGGACCAAAGCCTAGGAGACTACTCAGAAGAGGCTAGGTATGGTAGGTGGCTGAGCACTCCAAGGTTGGGGACCTTGCAAATCATCTTCCAGCCGAGCTTCCTCTAAGCACAGTAACCACTCTATGTACTCTGAAGGGGGGCAGTCCCAGGCTCATACCCCCTCAACACCCTCTCCTTTCATGTCACCAGAGACCTCCTAATCCCTGTGTTGGGGTCTAGTACAGACCCAGGGAGGGCTTGCTGTGCCCAGAGTCCAGGGTACTTGTGTTGGAATCACAATGGCTTTGGAGAATGAGCTGTAAGAAGAGGCATCCTAGAAGAGGAAGGGGCTCAGTAGTTAAGAGCACTGACTGCTCTTTCAGAGGAATAGGGTTCAGTTTTCCAGCATCCACATGGTAGCTCACAACTATCTATAACTCCAGTTCCAAGGAACTCACACAGACAAACATGCAGGCAGAACACTAATGCACATAAAATAAAAATTAATTTTAAAAAGTGAGGAAGGAACCTCTAAGCCAGTCCTACTTAGCTCTGTTGCCACCTTGACTGAAGCAGTGGGGGCTATCCCAGCAGCACTCATTCTGAATGGACTCTGATGGACTCTGAAGCTTGGGTGGGGCAGGAGAGCTGCTGTTGGTCTGGGTCACTGGATCTGCCTAGGACATGTGTCTTCTGGACTCTCCCAGAGCCACCAGCAACACCTGGGTCCGAAAGACCGTCGCCTTGGAGCTGAGCTATGTTAACTCCAACCTGCAGCTATTGAAGGAGGAGCTGGCTGAGCTGAGCAGGGGAATGGATGTGGACCAACCAGAGGGGTGTGAGACACCAGGCGGGGCATCACATATGTGTGGAGGGTGCACCTGGGTGGTGGGAGCCTCGGGATAGGCCTCCAGGCCACTATGGGTAGTAGGTCCAGAGCTCATGTTTCTGGTTCTAGTGAAAGTGTTACTATTCCCATGATCCCCCTGGGCCTGAAGGAAACCAAGGAGTTGGACTGGGCCACACCCCTGAAGGTAAGTGCTGGCCTGAGAACTTTGAAGGATGTGGTCATGAAGTGGGCTGAGAGGGTTTGTATCCTTCCTAATCTAGTCGCCCCACTGAACAGATGAGGAGGCTGAGGCATGGGGTGAGGGAGGGCTGTCATACAAGGAATTGGCACTGCCCTCCTGATGTCTGATTCTATTGGTCCCAACCTGGACTAAGGGTTAGATGATGGTCCCGGAATGGCTGTGAAGGGGCCTCATCATTCTGGAATCCCCAATATGACCATCAGGTTCCAGGATCCCATGTAGGGTGTCCTCTGGCTCAAGGCTGTCAGCCATCTGGTACCTGTTCTTTGACAACTGGCTCCTGAGTGACCTGGACAGGGTTCAGACCCCCAGAACATTCCATGGCCCTTCCTCCAGAGCCTGTAGGGTCCCATGGGAAAAGGACATAACCTTATGACTCAGTGTCCTAGTGAGTCTCCAAGGTGGCAGATGAAAGAATATATGTAAAAATGACAAAAGAATCCTGGTCCAATGCTGTCCTTGGAACCCAGGGCTTGGGGACCAGAATGTCAGCATCCACTAGTGTTCTAGCCCCCAGGTCCTCAGCCCTTCCCCTTGGTCCCAAGGACACAGTCAACCTGCTCTACCCTGGCCCCATCCCTCCATGGAGCAGGCTGCCAGGCATGGAGTGCCCCAAGGGCAATGCCTGTTCTTCCTTTAGGAACTGATCTCTGAGCACTTTGAAGAAGACGGTACCTCCTATGAGACAGAGATCCAGGAACTAGAGGACCTACGGCAGGTGGGTGGGCTGCTCCTCTTCTTGTTGCTCCAGGGACAGAAGAGGAAGCCAGGTCATAGAAGATTCACATGGAGTCCCCACATGCAGGAAGGAAACCTGGGAGATAGGCATAGTCAGTGTTCATGGAAGGACCCGGGGCTAACAGGTGACTTTGTTCTGGCCATGCTCTGTTGGTCTGGGGAGTGGCACTGCCTGTCCCTTCCTCGGGGTCCTACTTGGCTTCCTGTACCAGGCTGCCCTCAAAGTTCCTGAGGTGTCAAGTGTTCCTTGGAGATGATGCCCAGGGTGGTATCATGAGTGGTGGATCTTGGGACTGGGCCCAGCTTGATTCTCCCATGCAGGCCACGAGAATACCCAGCAGGGACGAGGTAGGTCTGAATCTGCTTGCAGCCTACTATAGCCAGCTCTGTTTCCTGGATGCACGTTTCTTCAGCCCGGCCAGGAGCCCAAGGCTGCTCTTCCACTGGTAAGGGCTAGCAACCAGGGTGGAAGCCCTGGGATGGGAGACCAGGTTGTTATGGGAACTGTAACCATGCTGACACCACACCACAGGTACGACTCGCTCACAGGGGTCCCAGCAGAGCAGCAGGCTCTGGCCTTCGAGAAGGGCAGTATACTGTTTAACATTGGGGCACTCCACACACAGATCGGCGCACGGCAGGACTGCTCCTGCACCAAGGGCACCAGCCATGCCACTGAGGCTTTCCAGAGGGCTGCTGGTGAGGGCTATAGATCACAGTAGGAGGGGTATGGTGCCCATCTCTGGGGCAGGAAATAGGGCTGGTGGACATGGCCTCCCTGTGTGAGAAACTTATCACATAAGTCCTTCAGTATGAAGTTCAGGAGGTAGTCCTGATGAGAATGGGGAATTCCTGCCTATGTGAGCACTCTATCCATCCTCAGGGGCCTTCAGACTCCTGAGGGAGAACTTCTCCCATGCACCAAGCCCAGACATGAGCACCGCATCTCTTTCCATGCTGGAGCAGCTCATGGTTGCCCAGGCACAGGAGTGCATCTTCAAGGGCCTTTTGCTGCCAGCCTCTGACAGACCTGACAGCTGTCCAGCTCAGCTGCAGTTGGCTCAGGAAGCTGCCCAGGTAAGGCCAAGGAGCCTCAACAAGATGGCCAAGTTTTGGCTACTCAAAGAGTGGAGGGCAAAGCTCAGTGGGACAGGAGTAGAGTTGATTTGGAGCCAAGTCAGGCAAGAATGGGCATCCACCAACGAGGCACCCACATCTAGTGCTCTGTGTCATTCCAGAAAGCCAGTGGCTGCCCTGATTCTTGAGGTCCCAAAGCCCTGGATGCCCAGGTCTGGCTCAGCCTGGAACCTGTGGATGGACTGCCAGAATGTGGGGCAGAGTGGGTGGAGCCTAGGGTGCATAGGCAGGGAACTTAGGCTGTCTAGCAGGGGTTTACTGGCTTTGTCCCTTGAGCTCCATGGGCCTGAAGAAAGGCAGAGGCTCCATTTGTACTAGCATGCCTGTTGGCAGGTGGCAGCTGAGTATGGGCTTGTGCACCGGGCCATGGCCCAGCCACCTGTCCAAGACTACCTGCCTGCCTCCTGGACCAACCTGGCACATGTCAAGTCTGAGCACTTCTGTGCCCTAGCCCACTACCACGCAGCCATGGCCCTCTGCGAAGACTCCTGTAAGTACATCACCCAGCATGTCTGTGTACTCACAGAGGCTCCCTGCTCAGGCTTATGGCTTCTCTGACCTCCAGCAGCAGATGAAGGAGAACTCTCAAGGCACATCTTCCAGCCCTCAACTACCTGTGATCCCCAAGGTCCCACAGCATCCAGCATTCAAAAGATGCCACAGCATCTGGAAGAGCGCAGGAAGCTTGGTGAGACTTCACAGGCAGGGCCCTGGGCCAAATATGGCAGGGTACCCCCCCCATGGTCTCTCGGCAATTGACATCCCTGAGTTGGTAGAAACTACTGAGAGCAGGGCTCTTGAGAGTGCTGGGCAGGTGAGTATGTAGCTGGGGACAGCTTTTCCCTTACTCTACTGTTTGGCTTGGCAGAACTTTTCCTAATCTGGCCAACATTGTCTGACCCTGTGGCCCATTCCCCTTCCTGATACATACTGAGCAGAGAGTCTGGGCCAGTTGGCGGGGCACGTGTGTGTGTGTGTGTGTGTGTGTGTGTGAGACAGTACTATGCCTGTGCACAGCCAAGGCTCACCTGAAGCGTGCCATCCTGGGTCAGGAGGAGGCTCTGCGGCTTCACACTCTGTGCAGAGTCCTACGTGAGGTGGACCTGCTACAGGTTGTGGTGACTCAGGCACTGCGGTGCTCGATGGCCAAGTACTCAGAGCTTGAACGTGAAGATGACTTCTTCGAGGCTGTGGAGGCCCCTGATATCCAGCGTGAGTAGCCAGGGCCCTTTGGGATGAGTATGTCAAAAAAGCCAGGCTGAGCCCCTGCAGCCACTGCTGAGAGGCAATCAGCAAGCCAGGTGTGATAGCACATGCCTACGATCCCAGCCTAACGCTAGGGAGACTGAGTCAGGAGAATGGAGTTGAAGGGTAGCCTGGGTTACATAGTGAAACCATCTTTGGGTGGGTGGGGAGGCAGGCTGGGCTGAGGAGTGGAGTTCTGGGAGGATATCAGGCCAGTGTCCCCTGCCACCTCCTTCCCCACTTGGTTCTTAAAAGGCAAGAGGGGACAGAGGCATGGTGCCAGCCAGGGCTTGAAGGTAGATTCCTAGAATCCTCCACATATACCATAAATTCAGGGAACTAGTACAGCCCTGGTTGTCAGTAGGGACAGCTAGGTTTTAAGGACCCAGGAAAGTCCTACATGCAATTGAGGGCCACATACTCCTCTAAACTAAGCCAGGTCCCACTGGACTCTGAGTCTGGGAGGGTTAAGAGTCTGGAGTTTGGTTCCAATTCTCTTGTTACTCCTGCTCTGTCAGCCAAGACCCACCAAGCACCAGAGGTGAGAATGCCCAGCCTGTCCCAGATGAAGGTGACTGACATCTTCCATCGTCTGGTGAGCAGGCCAGTTCTCCCTCCCTGTCCCTCTTTCCTCTGGCCCATACCCTGTTTCTGCTCCAGGATATGTGGGCTAAGATGGGGTGCCAGACAGGTCAGAGCTCCTTGACTGCCACTCAGCCAGGTCTCTGCCACTTGCCTCCTTCAAGGGACCCCTGTCTGTATTCTCAACCAAGAATCGGTGGCGGTTGGTAGGGCCGGTACACATGACTCGAGGAGAGGGCAACTTTGGCTTCACACTGAGGGGAGATTCACCTGTCCTCATCACTGCTGTTGTTCCTGGGGGTCAGGCTGAGGTAAAGGTCCTCTAGCCCCTGATGGTGAGATCCTAGACTGTCAAAGTGTACTGCCACCACCTCACTGGTCCATATTCTCCACAGTCTGCTGGCCTGAAGGAGGGGGACTACATTGTGTCTGTGAATGGGCAGCCTTGCAAGTGGTGGAAGCACATGGAAGTGGTGGCACAGCTGAGGGGCATGGGCGAGGAAGGCGTGAGCCTGCAGGTCGTGTCCATGCTGCCCAGCCCTGAACCACCACATAGCACGGTAAACCCTTGGCCCCAACCCCCAGCCCCACCCAGCCCTGGTCTCCCTCTTGGGTGTTCAAAAGGCCTCAAAGAGAAGTGGAGGTGGCTTCCTGCAGTGTCCATAGTGTGGTTACTGCCCTGCTCCAAATGAAGCCCTCAGCCCACATCAATGGGATTTTGTACCCAGACTAGATTCTTCTAAACCAGTCTATTCCAGAGGTCACATCCATGTGATGGTAAGCAGCCTCACATGGCCACTTTGGGTGCCCCCAACATGTTCCTAACATACCCACCACTCCAGAGGGCTCTAACCTCTTCCCAGGGTGGCCACAGATAGGGCAGGAAGTGAGGCTGACCACATCTATCTCTCTCCTGGCCATAGAGACCCCGACAACAAGCACTGCTGGTGAGCCAGAGAGACTGTGGTTTTGAGACACAGATGCCTGCACGAGCCAGGCCCTGGCCGATCCTTGGCTGGGGCCGCAAGACCAAACAAAGCAAGACTGAGAGCCACCCTGACTCCTGCACAAACAGGAAGTGTGTCACCTGTCCCTGAATTGGACACCTGGTACCCCTGTGTGCCCAGGGTGACTGTGGAGGCCATCTTCCTGTGTACATCACCTTATAACCAGCTCCAACTAGCCAGGTGTACCTAGTACATTATGTCCTCTATTCTGGGGGACATCAGACTATCCCTGCCTTGCTTAGAGCTAGAGATGTCAATTAAAAATGATGGTCAGATGAGATAAGTCTAAGCCTAGTGCTGGGGCCATGGTCACTTTACCCACACCAGAGATATGTCCCAGTACACTCCAGACACAGTGCTCACATAGCCACCCTGCAGAGAGCAGCAGGCCGAGCTATCCTTCTGCAGCAGGCCTCTTGGCCCCTGCCATGCCCCATCTACTCTCCTGCTATGTGACTCTCAACTCAAGTCTAGTTGCTCTGGGCATGTACGCTCAGGGCCCTACCCTGAATAGTAAGATTCTGTCTGATGCATAGGGGCCCTTCTGGTCACCTTGCACTCCCTCCCCTTGCTGGTCAGTCTCTCTGTGTGAGGTCCCAGAGAAGGTATTTCATCTGCATCCCCCTTATAGTACCCCAGCTTTCAGCATCCCACCTTCTGCCCAGGAAACATATCTTCTGGCCATTCTGCTGCCCAATTCCACCTGTTCTCATGCAGACCCTGGCAGGTCCCTTAGAAGGGTAGGTTCAGGACCTGAGCTCCAAAGGGACAGGATGGGAGCTCCATGTAGGAAGCAGTCCTAAACTACATGGAGAGTCCATGAAGATGCTCTCCCTTAAAGGCTCTGGAGGGTTCAGGATGGAAACAGAAAAGCTGTTTGTATCTTAGTGGCAGAGCACTGCCCATTGTGCATGATGCCCTAGCTTCAAGCCCCAGAACTAGAAAAGACAAACAGATGAGGAACTTGTTCCCTGGGACCACCAGGGGGCAGCTGCTGCCCACTCATGCAGCTCTAGGAGGCTGCAGCTCTTCTAATCCCCATGAATCTGAGGAAGGCCCAGGAAAGAGAGGCAGCCAGCTCCAGAGTCAGCAACCCACACCCTTTCATCCTCCAACCTCTTCTTTGGGGCTCCCAGGTGAGAGTACCAGATTCTATGCTCCAGGTCTGGCTCCATAGTCTAGGATCCTGCTGCCCATCATCCCATGCATCAAGGTCCAGGGCAGGTGAATGTAGAGGGTAAGCTCGTGGGTCCGGAAGATCCAAGTAATCCAAGTACACCTTCTTCTGAAGTAGCAGTGGCTCCCAGACAATCCATTTACCTCATTTACCTGCCCTCTTGGGACAATCTCCAACACAGCAGAAGAGCCAAGGTCACTCAGGCTCCTCAGCCTGAGTGTGTCAAGGAGGCCATTGCATGATAGTCAAAGATGACAAGGTAGGTAGCCCTATGGAGGATAGTGAATGTGAGACCCCACCACCACCACCACCCCAAGCATGCACGAAAGCACACACACACCCTTGGATGATCTGTCAAGATGAGGAGGGAAGAAGCTGCCTCTTACCTGCATAGTGACTCTAAGCTACCACAGCCTGCCTCCACATTCTGCTGACATCACCATGCCCAGGCCTTTGTTCCTGGGCCCTTGCTAATTGATCCCTCTATCTTAAGTTCTGAGTCCCCTGCTCAAAAGTCACCACTTTAGAGGTCTCTCTTAAGGCTGTTCCTGTGCCAAGGTGACTCCTCCCAGATGGAGCCAAGCACAGTTCTGTGTCTCAGTGGGTCATCCTTGCATTCTCCCAGTGTGAGACAAGTGCCCTGAGCACACAGTCTGTGGGCAGGATGGAGGTCCCTGGCTGAGGCCCAGTGGCCATGGTGAGAGCTCCTGGGTCTAGAGTTCTGTCTGGGACCTGAGACTTTATGGTAATGGAAGCCCTATCTAGCCCGGTGTATGAACTCTTTTAGACAGGAAAATCGGTGTATCTAACACAGACCGGCACTGTGGGAGCCAGTCAGAGAGGCCATGTATGCTGGAGGGTACTGGTCCTGATCTTAATAACACATGGCAGCTACCCTAATGGGCCAGCTGATATGAGCAAGCCTGGTTCTGGCCCGTTTACCCTGGCATGTTTCTTCCCACCACCCTGCTCCAAACTGTTCCCGACCTTCCTACCTAGCTGGTGTCTTCTCAGCCTTCAGGGCCCATATCCCTTCCTTGGGCAGCTCTTGCTCAGCCACACCACTACTCTGAACTGCAGCCCCTTCCTGGCTCAGCCACGTGATGCATACTACTGTGGTCATAGGTGGCCCCTTGGGCCATGAATACCTGAGGAAGACACATGACATTGTCACACACATGTGCTACCTGAGAGGGAAGAATGGGGACCTGTCTCTTCACAGCCTTGGCAGACCCAGGGTCCATGGCCAGTGGGGAGAACATAAGGCAAATAGAAGTGGGGTGTCTGTGCACATTTACCATGCATACAACCCACGACACTGCACACCATAGAGGGGTGCTTCGTTTTCAGGCGGCCAAGGCATGTATATACTGTGATTCCTTTCTGCTTTGCCAACAAAAAACTGCCGAGAGGGGAAAAGGCAAACTCTGTTTTGCTTGAATCAGCAGTGAGACGCCTGGAGATTAATGTGGGAGACCGAGGCGCAGCAGAGAGAGTGGGGGTGGGATAGAGTGAGGGCTGGGTGCATGTGGAATGGGAGGTTTGGGATGGATAGTCCAGGGAAGATGGCCAGGTGAAAGGACCCCGCTGCCTTCCTCGGCCTCTGCCCCAGAACTCTGCCCCAGCTTCTGCCTTCCGGGCCCCTCTTATGTGCATGCTTTGGGTCTGAGGCCACCCCCACCCCATCAATATTTTATTTTGTCCATTGTCTGAAATGGCTAGGGATTTGTGAGTTCAGCTGCAGGCATGGGAGCAAGAGACAGGAGAAATCAGTGCACTGAGCTCCCAGCCCAGGGAGGTGTGTCCCTGAACCATTCATCCTTGAATAAACTTAGACTACATGCTTGGGATGTCCAAGAAAGTGGGGTGAAGCTGCAAGATATTTGGCCTGCCTGGTGGGACACCTGAGTCAGGAGCCCATAGTAGAGGGGTTAGTGAAGTGTCTGGCTGGGTATGGGCTCCAAATGGACAACTGGTATAGGACAGAAGTAGGGGCATGACAGGGGCTTGGGCCACTTAGAGCTGTAGCCCAGGTGAGGAGACATGATAGCCAAGACAGTAAAAGGAACAAAGTTCAGCTTAGTGATGTGTGCCTCAGTTTCTCAGAATAGGGAAGAGAGAGTGAAGACCTTCTGCCAGCCTCAGAGGAGCTGGATCACTCCAGATCATACTAGCCTGGCTAGAAAGCCACAATTAGACCTCTGGAAAGTCAAACAGCAGCCATCATACAGTGGCTTGCCATGATTCTCCACCAGGGATACAGACCTACTGCTGGATAGAGCCACAATACTGGGGGATATTGTGGGACCAGGACCCTGGCTCCCCTCTCAAGGGTAGAGAGGTCCTTGACCCTGTTCAGAGAGCAGAAGATACTGGCCAGGCCCACCAAGGGCTCTGCTCTGGCTCAGGATAATGTTCTCTGGGCCACTATCACTCAAATTTACCTTCCTGAGGTTTCTGCCTCAGCTGCGGGGGAGGGGTAGGGGTGAGGCCACAGCCTGGTACCTCATCCACAATCAGTTTTCAGCGTGTTGTCCTCCTGTGACAGGTAGAGTAGGACCAGACCCAACCCTGACACTATCTACTCCTAGAAGCCTGTGATCCATCCTCCCCCCCCCCCAGCTGTGGATGTGTTTTGGCCCCCTAAGGCCCCAGAACTGCCCTGCTAAGAACACATACCCTTACACTCCCCTCTTCTGTATCCCTGACTTCATTCCCCCTACACTCCCCTTTCCTTCTCCACTCCAACCCTACTCCCTTCCCCCCTCTCACTTTTTCCACACCTTGGCTCCCTCCTCCTTCTCCCTGTTTTCCACCCCATCTCCATCCCCACCTGCACAGGTCAGCTTTACCACTCTACCTCTACCATCCTGTTCACTGTGGCTTAGGTCAAAATTACCTCATCATCACTGACATCAGCTTCACCATGGGGCTGATTCATTTTTGCCAACTTGACACAAATTAGAACCACCTGGGAAAAGGGAACCTCAGTGAGGAATTGTTTCCTCCATGAGATTGGCCAGTGGGCAAGTCTGTAGGGGCATTTTCTTGATTAATGATTAATGCTGGAAGGGCTCAGATCATTGTGGTGGTACCATCCCTGGGCATGTGGTCCTGACAGCAAAAGAAAGAAAGCCAAGCAAGACATAGAAAGAATGCCAGGAAGCAGCACTCTTCCTCCTGCCTGGCTCCTGTCAGCCTGACCTGACCCCCATTGCTGGCATCAAGAAACACCCTCACCTGTAATCATCTTCATCATCTCTGGTACTTAAGTGTTTAGTATGGGCCTAGGCAGCCATGGGGACATGACTCCAGTAAGCAGAGTAGAGTTAGGAGTGGTAAGACAACTCTAGTTGGACCTATTGGTGCTGGCATGCAAGTGGACACCAAGGGGATAGAGTAGATGCTTAGTGTGTTCTTGGGCTAGAGGGAAAGGCCGGTGTCATCTGAAGTTCACATGAAAGTAACATGTCAGAGAAGAAAGGACAGCCTAGAGACTGCAGGGAGGAGACTGGAAGCATCTAGAGGAGGAAGTCAAGGTGGGTTGGAAGGTAGGAAGGTAGCTCTGCCCGGCCCAGGCAGGCCCAGCTGTTGGAGGCTAGGGCTGGATACAGAGCCATGCCTAGGACTGAGATGGCAGCCCCCTGTTGCAAGAGTCCACCCTGGGTTGTGGACTTTAGGCTTGTGGCCAGAGGAAGGAGTGCTGAGCAAGAGGCCTCTCAAGTCTGAGGTCCTATCCTTCAGGGAAGGGACTCCACTTCTCACAAGGGATTCTCAGAACTCGCCTGTCATCCCAGGAGCCCTTGGAGGCCTGTAAGCCAAGGCCTACCCCATTCAGAGGGTCCACAGTAGCCTGGACTGGCTGCCGTTATGTATGTCCATCTTGGGGTGGCCCAGGCTCTATGCCCATGCATAATGCAGTATTTACCTGAAGGGTGATTGGCAACCACTCGGACTTCCCTTCCCCCACAGCCCCAGACGTTGAGCCAGACGTGCATTAAGGCAGGAGTGACTTATCGAGCTGTCAGGGGGAGCGTTTTAAG